CCAAAGCAGATGCAAGCTTGTGTATTTGAAGAGAACTTGTGTTGGTTTACTATTCCACATTCAAATTACCTTCCTCGTGATTTGGTATAACCGTTTGTACATAATTTTACAAATTTATTTTTATTAAAAAATTCAACATGTTACGTTTGCGTACTTGAGTTACGAGGCAAATGCACGTGCACCATTTTTCATCTGGACTTAGGTTATGTTTCTGCTATTCACCATTATTTTCCTTCTTTGTTTTATGTCACTATAACCACCTTTGCACAATTTCATGAATATCCTTTTATTTGTTTATTTTGTTTTGTCTCCACATGTTACTATTCCGCACTTGAGTGACGGTGCAAGTGCCAGTATATCAAGCAATATTATTCTTCACCGTCGTGTTGTTGTCTGCTTGAATTCTTGATAAAACCGTAGCTTTTTGGGGGGAAACTCTTGCATTGTCTTCACCAGTTCCTAGTTGTTCATTTTACTTCATTTATTTATCAACTGTGTGTACGTTATCTGAGCTGCTACTCTTCCAGATCGACGACGATCGTTCCAGATAAGAGAAGAGGCTTTTCAATAATAAGGCGTGCGAACAATGCCACTTGGCTCAGTTCACTGTGAACTTCCAACGCCGAGCGACTCTCAAGGCACGAGTTTTGACTTTGATGACAAGCCCTGTTCTGTTACGTCCGCGCGGTGTGACCCCTGAGCGAGCCAATTGACCGTTTCATTTTCGACGCAGTAGCAATGCTTTGGTGGGTGGTTGGCGAGTGCTCTGGTGGGGTTTGCTTCTTCTTTCCTATCAAACATCTATCGTCCTTGTCTCTCCTCCTCCTTTTTTGTATGTTACTCTCTTGTAACACCTCTAATCTTCCGCGTGGGTGGTTGGCGGGTGCTCTGGTGTGGTTTGCTTCTTCTTTCCTATCAAACATATGTCGTCCTTATCAGCCCTTCTTTTTTTTTTCGTTACTCTCTTGTAACACCTCTAATCTTCTGGCGCTCATATGACCGTAAGCTGTTGCGAGCGCCGTAAAACCTCTACTAAAAAAAATCTTCCGCACTTATAAGACCTTATTGTGTTGCAAGTGCCGTAAAACTCTTACTAGAACTAAACTAAACGAAAGCATTGCTTCGAGTCTGTGAGAGGTTGAAGCGCACCACAAGGTCCTTCCTCTTTTCTTTCCTTTTTTGGTTCTTTGTCTTGTTTTGTCCCTGCGCCAAATATAAGTGTACTTCTATTTACTCAGTCATACTAATGGGTGGTTGGTGGGTGCTCTGATGTGGTTTGCTTCTTCTTTCCTATCAAACATCTGTTGCCCTGATCTCCCCTTCTTCTTTTTTGTGCTCGTTACTCTCTTGTAACCCTCTATCTTCTGGCGCTCATATGACCTTATTGTGTTGCGAGCGCCGTAAAACCTCTACAAAAACTTAAAAAACAACTCTAACTACAACTGAATATTGCTTCGAGTCTGTGAGAGGTTGAAGCCCACCACAAGGCCCTTCCTCTTTTCTTCCCGTTTTGGTTCTTTGTCTTGTTTTGTCCCCTCGCTAAATGTCAATGTACTTCTATTTACTCACACTCATACGCTTCGAGTCTTCGACTGCGCTGAGTCTTCGACTGCGACTGAGTCTTCCACTGCGGCTGAAGTTTGTTACGAAAAACCCACTCGGAAGTTCGAAGTTCTGATCCGAGCGAGGTCACAAGGGCGCCTCTAGTTGTTCCGACTTACCCTTGTCCATTGCTCGGGTTTTTTGTCTGTTTGTTCTGTGTGGGTGGTTAGCGGGTGCTCTGGTGTGGTTTGCTCCTTCTTTCCTATTAAATATCTATCGTCCTTATCTCTCCTCCTTTTTTGTGTTTGTTACTCTCTTATAATACCTTTAATCTTCGGCTCTTATATGACGCTATTGTGTTGCAAGTGCCGCTAAACTCTTTCTAAAACTAAAACTAGCACCTCACGTCAGTTCTCCGCCTTTTAAATGTCCAGTGCTGCTGTGTGCACCGAGGCGTCAGACATTCGTAATGTCTGACTTCCTCGCGTCACATTCAGCGCTATAAACTATTAAAAGTGGGCGATTGGCGGGTGCTGTGTCGTGGTTTGCTTCTTCTTTCCTATCAAACATCTATCGTCCTTATCTCCCCTTCTTCTTTTTTGTGTTTGTTACTCTCTTGTAACACCTCTAATCTTCTGGCGCTCATATTATGACCTTATGCAGTTGCGAGCGCCGTAAAACCTCTACTAAAACTAAATACTAACTTCAGTTCTCCGCCTTTTAAATGTCCAGTGCTGTGTGCACCGAGCCGTCAGACATTCGTAACATCGGACTTCCTGGCGTCACGTTCAGCGCTATAAACTTAAAATTTAACGGACCGGTACCTTCCATTCAATTCTGCCCCCGATGCGAGTGGGTGGTGGCCACTCTGATGGGGCCTGCTTCCTTGAAACTTTCTGTTTAGTGTCTTTATTATCTCCAACTAGTCACGGGCGAAATTATGTGACCGTTGTCGTGGCAACTCGCTGTGATCTGCAGTTAAACACCACTGTGTTTGCTGGCCGTTTGCGAAGATGAAAGAAGAAAGAACGGGGTTTATGATGCTGCGGGGAGGATGGGGTGGGGATGGTGGTGATGGAGATGGAAAGGAGTGGGGGGGGGGGGTGGGGGGGGAGTGAGAGACCACCCGGCCGGCGACGGTTCTGTAATTATTAGAGGTGCCTTTGTGATATCGATAGGCGCGGCGCTGAGTATCCGGGGCCACATGCCTCGGAGGTGACTTGGCTGCTGAGTGAAGGAAGGAGGGAGGAAGGAAAGAGGGAGGAGGGAAGGAGGGGGGAGGGAATGGTAGAGGGAGGGGGGAGTGGTAGAGGGGTGAGGGAGTGGTAGGGGAGGGAGGGGAGGTTACTGGGCTGCTAAGTGAGGGTGTGAGGAAGTAAGGAAGGAAGAAGGGAGGGAGTTACTGATAGAGGAGGAAGGGAGTGAGGAAGGAAGGAAGCGGGGAGGGAGGGAGGGGGTGGTAGAGGAGGGAGGGGAGGTTACTTGCCTGCTGAGGGAGGGAGTGAGGAAGGAAGGAAGGAAGGGGGAGGGGAGGAGAGGGGGAGTGGTAGAGGAGGTAGTGGTAGAGGAGGTAGTGAGTGGTAGAGGGCGGGAGTTACTTGGCTGCTGAGAGAGGGAAGGGATGATGAAGGAAGGTACGAAGAAGGGAGGGTGTGAGTGAGGAAGGAAGGAAGAAGGGAGGGAGGGCGTACTATAGGAGAGAGGGGAGGATACTTGGCTGCTAAGAGAGGGAGTGAGTGAGGAAGGAAGGAAGGAAGAAGGGAGGGATGGAGTGATTGAGAAGGGAGGGAGTGATGGAGGAGGGAGGAAGTGATAGAAAAGGGAGGGAGTGATGGAGGAGGGAGGGAGTGGAAGAGGAGGATACTTGGTTGTGAATTGTCAATGTGCTCCATTGTCTTTGTATTGACCAGGGCTATCTGCTGGCGGTAGTGTGTCGTCATACAGGCGAGAGCGCCCTGAGCCGATGATATTATTAATGGCTCCCTTTTCCCCCCCTATTACGCCCCCCCCGCCCTTCTCCCTCTCTCCATGTCTCTCCCTCTCTGTCCCCTTTTCCTGCACCCTCTCTCCACCCCTCTTTCACCACATTATCTCCTCTTCCCCTTTCTCTCTCTGTCTCTCTCTCTCTGTCTCTCTCTCTCTCTGTCTCTCTCTGTCTCTCTCTC